TATAAATACCAAAACCAGCGGACGCCTCTATTAATGATCCATCTGTGAAGAACGATCTTGCGGAATCAACTTGGCCAAACTTTGCAGCGAAAATTGACGGAGCAATCATAGAACGATGATGCTCTGGGATTCCGCGAATCTCTTGCGTCATGGATAAATTAAAATGAACAGAATTGCCGAAGTCGGAGAAGCAAACACGATAGGGATTATGCTGGGAAGTAGTACACGTAGTACAATGACATAAAACGAGTTTGAGGGTTTAGCTCAAGAAGCTTCTCAGTGTTTGCAATCACCAGATGGTTCATAATTTCACAACGGGTGAGAAGCCTGAGGGATAATTCTGAAAACCGATCAGAGAGTGGCAAGATGCCCGCTAACACTTCGATACTCATCGTATGAATCGAGTGCATGCATCCTAACGCGTTACGAAGACAGCGATACTGGATCCGTTCCAGTTTGATGATGTGAGTTTTAGCCGCCGACTGGAAGCAAAAACTACCGTACTCTAAAACCGATAAAATCGTTGTCCGGTACAACGTTAGAAGATCTTGCGGATGAGCTCCCCACCACGTTCCGGTAATTTTACGGAGAAAAATGATCCTTTGTTAGCATTTCCGCTTCAGATACTCAATGTAGGATCTCCAGGTGCATTTTGAATCGAACCAGACCCCAAGATATTTGAAGGACATAGAATGAGCGATCGGTTTACCCAAAAGTTGAAGCTTTGGTTGTGCTGGGCTATGCTTCCTAGAAAAAACGACCAACTCAGTTTTCTCCGTGGAGAATTCGATACCTAGCTGGATAGCCCAAGTAGACAAATTGTCTAAGGTATCCTTGCAGGTCGGCCTCTCTGGGCCCTGTCATAGACACTACTCCGTCATCTGCAAGTTGTCTCAACGTGCAGTTGTCACTTAGTCAATTGTCAATTTCTCTGACGTAGAAATTATACAAAAGGGGGCTTAAACATGAGCCCTGGGGGAGACCAATGTAGCTAAATCGTGAAGCTGTAGAGTTTCCATGAGAAAAGCTCATATGTTTCTCTGACAGCAAATTGTACAAAAAGTTATTAATTAATGGAGAACGGCCACAAGCGTGGAGTTTGTCTGAAAGGACTTCAATCGATACTGAATCAAAAGCCCCCTTAATATCCAAGAAGACAGAAGCCATTTGCTCTTTTTTAGCAAAAGCCAACTGAATTTCAGTGGAAAGCAACGCGAGACAGTCGTTCGTTCCCTTGCCCCTACGGAAACCAAATTTAGTATCTGAGAGTAGGTGGTTCAACTTAACCCATTTGTCCAGGCGAAAAAGGATTATTTTCTCCAACAATTTTCGAATGCACGATAACATTGCAATGGGACGATACGAGTTGTGATCTGACGCGGGTTTTCCAGGCTTTTTAATGGCTATAACTCTCACCCGCCTCCAATCATCCGGAACAATATTAAGCTAAAGGAACTGACCAAACAAGTTCAACATGCGCCTCTTAGCGACGTTTGGGAGGTTCTTCAACAAGTTGAACTTGATTCTATCAGCCCCCGGAGCCGAATTGCCACACGAAAGGAGTGCTGAGGCTGGCTGATCTCGTCTACCGAATTCGTCGTTTCGCGAGGAATCATCTGTGCCGGCACAGAATCAGGACATACTTTTCGCGCGAACTTGAGAATCCAACTATCCGAGTACTCCTCACTCTCGTTGTGTGAAGACCGGTTACGCATCCTTCGCGCCGCATTCCAAAGCGTATTCATCGACGTTTCGCGCGATAATCTGTCCACGAATTGCCGCCAGTATCCGCGTTTCTTGGCTTCGATGAGGCTCTTGAGTTCACGTTTAAGAGCCGAGTACGCTTCGAAATGTACGGGTGTTCCACGTTTCCGGAAACGCTTAAACGCGTCAGACTTTTTACGATAAACCCCAGTGCATTGCTGGTCCCACCAAGGGGAAGGAGGTTTCCTACGGAAAGACGTTCCTGGAACCAGCCAAGTTTGAGCTTGAAGCGCGCAGTCCAAGATCAGATTGGAGAGGAAGTTATATTCCTCCAACGGTGGATAACTATCGGGGAATTGCATCGTTAAGTGCCGTTTCGAAGCTATTCGAGCTAGTGATTATGGTACCGTTGCTGTCCCATTGCAAGCAGTATTTGAGTGCTGATCAACATGAGTTTACTGTCGGCCGCTCTACAACCACCAATCTGCTGTGTTTCACATCGTATATAACCGAAAGCATGTCGGATCGGGTTCAAACGGACGTTATTTATTCAGACCTATCCGCAGCATTCGACAAGTTGAACCATGCTATTGCGATTGCTAAACTCGCCAGGCTCGGTGTATGCGGTAATCTTCTGAGTTGGTTTCGATCATATCTTACCGGTCGGTTGCCATAGGAGATTGCAGATCAGCTAGCTTCTTCGCCACATCAGGTGTACCTCAGGGAAGCCACATGGGACCGTTAATTTTTATACTGTACTTCAACGACGTGCATCTGGTCATCGAAGCTCCTCGGTTATCATATGCAGATGACCTCAAAATCTTCCTACGAATCTGCTTCAACGTCAACTGAATGTACACGGCGAATGAAAACGACCCAAATTTGAGTTTAGTTCACTCATAATCGCCAAAAGTGTAGGAACTCAGCGATGAGTAAAGTTCCCAGTTTTGCAGTTTTTTTCCAGGATTTTCCAGGGGAAAATTCCCGAATTTGAGAAAAGTAAAGATTGGATTCACTCAGTCTATTGGTACTACTCCGAGACTGAATAAAGTTTTCGTTAATTTCCTCATTTTCCGGCAGATTGTTTAGGTTTTCCACAGGAAACCATGAGACAAATTTTACTCATCGCTGAGTTCCTGCATCCTCCATTGACTGGTCGTGGCAAAGGAGGAAAAGGTCTGATAAAGGAGGTGCCAAGTGTCATCGCAAAGTTCTTCGAGATAACCGCCATCGGTCGTCTGGCTCGCCGTGGTGGTGTCAAACGTATCTCCAGTCTGATCTACGAGGTGTGCTGAAGGTGTTCCTGGAAAATGAGGTCCGTGATGCTGTGATGCGTGATGTGCTGGCCATGGATGTCCTCTTTAATAAAACAGCCCTTTTCAGGGCAATCAAGCTTACATCAGTAAAGAGTTGGAATAGCCCCCAACGACCACACAAAATGCTCTCCAGAGTTGTAATTTTGTAACCAAACTAGGAAGCAGGGGTGCAAGTGATTGATTGATTCTCTTAATCAACTTTCTCTTTGAAAAAGATTACTGCAAATTTGGTACACCTACAATTCAAAAACGGAAAGAGTTGAGATAATAGATAATTGATCAATTAAAAGGACTAAATGCTCTACATTTATTCCGTACACTAGCGGTCCTACGTCAAGCTTTCGTTCGTGCCCCTAGGCACAGATCCTTCTACTTTTGAATTGGCGTTAACGGTAACTCTATAACTCTTTACTCCTATGGTAAATTCCATAAGCAAACGTCAGAATGTGCGTGAAACATGGCGGTCATCGTACTATCCTTTCACTCCACTAAAAATTCCCATAAGCAACTGTGAATATTTGCTAGAAGACATGATTTCTCGACGGTGACAAAAATATTTTGTGTCCCACAAAATGTTATTAATTATACTCAAAAATTCGATCAAGACATCGGATAATATATTGTTGAGCTTGTAAAACTTCAAAATCTAAACTCCAGGATGATTTAAAGAACTCTCATTATTTGCAGGAAACTCATTGATTATATGTGCATTCATAATTCCATGACATTTTGAAGATCTAGGTGTTCAACATGTTAATGCAAATCACATATCAGAATTTTTCTACAAAGTACAGTCAAATTTCGCTCGTTGGGCTATGTTTAAGAGAGCTACGTTTTAGTTGGGCTCCCGTTAGTTGGGCTGTAGCCAACCTAAATCGAAGTCAAACGTCATTTCTGACAGTGCTGATTCATTTTCGAGGAGCTCATGTATGAACAATTTGGATAGTTGCTAAAGGATTGTGATGATAATAAACAATATCTGTGTATCCCTCAGCCAATTTTCACCTTGACAGGTCAGTCCGACTAATGAAAGCCCTTCACTTACAGGGCAAGGGGTTATAGCCCAACGAGCGAAAGTTGACTGTAGACGTATTGTAGAGCAGTTATGCCGAAGAAATTAAATTACTATTCGTGAACGGTGATTTTTGACAACTGAAGACGGTAGAGGTCATATATGTTATATGAACCCGTGGGATTGAATCGGTTAAATTACAGATTACCTTAAGTTGGCTAGTTTTCCAAAACCGGGAAAATATCGGAAATTGAAAAAAAAATGAAAGGGCACTTTGTACATAGCAACTCCCTTGTTCTATTGAAGATTTCCCCATTTCCCATAGATTCTATTCGTTATTCGTTGTGAACAATACGATTTATTGTACCTCTATGGTTATCTGCTCTAAGTAAAATTCAGACTATGTACATACTACTATCTATCATCGCAAACCCTAGCGCTGCGAAAGCAGGGCACCATAATTTACGGTCCCTCGGCTGACCCAATTTGGTGGATGCGGCCGGGAAAACAGCCGCTCCGGAGAGACTACCCTAATGTGAAAGTGTGTTGTAGCGCTTTGACGTCTTGTTTTTCCTCTTTGCACATACCGATACACATGCCGAGACCACGCGGGAGGGGATCCGCACATAACGCTCTCACGTAACGTGGCGCCTAACTTGCGGCTATAAAAAACCAAAACAAAACCAGGGAGATCACCGGTGTGTGGTGTTGGATCGCTGGATGAAAATGGGGGAATTCTGTGGAAAGTCAGGGATTTCCATATTTTTTTTAAGAAATTGAAATACAATATTTTTCCTTGGCCTGTACAGTTTATGCCAAGATTCGAAATCTTTTCCTAATTCCACCCAGCGGAAAAACGATCGCAGTGCGCAGGATCACCGACAATTCGCACTGGAATCCGAGCGGGTTGTTGCATATCGGCAGGCGACCGAGAAGAAAAGTCTCCATACACTCTAACTTTTCAGAGGTTTTCCGAACGATGGCTGTTGTTTTCTCTTATACAAAAAAAAGTCGAAGAAATTCTTACAAAATCTTCTAAATTGTAGCTAAATTTTACACTAGTTTTACGGTAAATTAGTCAAACGACGCGAACAAGTGGACGGAGCTACGCACATTTAGACTTGATTCGGCGTTAGGAAAAATTGTATCCAAAATCAATCACCAAAAGTTCAGGATAAGAAGAAAAAATCCACTTTTCCGCAGTTTGTGTAGTCTAGGTGATTGTGGGAAAACAAGTGTTTTGAAAAGAGAAAACTTAATCGCTCTAGGCAAACTTTTGAACCAATTTTCGTCACTAGATTGAACGCTTGGGAAAATTCCGAAAGACAAGCAAAAGCGAAGAAATCGATTTGCGGCTTGTTGTTCTTGCCAAGCCATACCGATACCGATAAAGGAGCAGAAAAAAGTCAAGGATGAAACTTTGCAGGTAAGAAGCAAGTGTTCCAAAAGATTTTCCTATTCATATAGCGAACGAATCAGGTTTGCGCTCCTCACTCACTGCCCCGCTTTCAGCACCCAGCTTGGGTAAGGTCAGCCTTGAATTTGCCTGATAATAGGCAACAATACGGGCAGGAGAGTAATGCAAGAAGGGTAATATTCAGATAACGCCTATTCAAAAAAGAAAAACCGTGCCCCCTGATTGCTGGGAACCCCAATCAAGTCCCACTCCTCAAAGCCTGGCATCACGAATGATGGGAAGCAATGTTTCATATTCGTGGGAAAATTGGTGGCAACCTTGACGGAGGTGCATGACAGGCAGAAAGGTGCCGAGCAGCAGCAGCGGGCCGGAATGGGTGGGGATCGTCGGAGTACAGCACAGTCGTGTTGCGTGATAAGAGGCTTGATTAGCTCCTATTCAGTGTCAATCAATTCAACCAAAAGCGGAAGCTGGATGAGCTATGAATTTTGAGGGATATCACTTCGCCTGGATTTAGGCCCGTTTGCTGATGCGGAAAATCGGACGAGGGGTGGGGGACCTGATTCGTTCGGCTACATGTCGTTCGCTAAACCACCTGTAGCGATGTTTTTGTTAATGATGTCTCTTTTTCTGTTCTTTCTCTTGCCGCACCACCACCTCATCGATGTCACCGTGTCGCCGTCGTTGCTATGGGGGTAGAATTGATGGCAAACGAGGAATTTTGGAACGTCGTCGTCGGTTTTGCACTGCTACTGTTGTTGCCCCCCAACCAAGGCGAATTTAGATCGGAGAAAATTGGTGTGCTTTGCTTTGCCTAGGAATTGGACCCGGAGCCCTCCGCAATGGATGCCGTTGTGCTGATAGCGTGCCTGGCCTTGGTGGGAACGTTGCTGATTGTGCTGCTGCTGCTGTGTCGGTTGGTTCAACCGTACGACGTTGCCTGGTTTCTGTCCAACCGAGAGGATAAAATCAGCCTGTCCAAGATGCGGCTGTACAATGCGAACGGATATTTGGTAGGTGCTGATTTCTATGGCTGGTGTTTGTACAGAACTTTCAAAAGAGCAGTGCAATTACTGTTCATAGGAAATTTAAGTAGTTCCACGTCAAACGACGAATCAGAAAAGCTCGACCTACTCCGATTTGCATGAAACTTTGCATGATTGTTCATTTTGTGCAATCATTCACATGAAATGTTTGCTAAAATTCGGCCATTTAGGATGTTGCATTTTTTGTCAAAATGGCGTCTTTGACATTTTTCAAAATATTGTAGCACGTAAACGAAACAAAGTTGTATAGAAAAATGTATTTTTTGGGAAAATATGAAAACTCAAATATCTCAAAATGTCCTCAATGACTGAGTAAAATTCCATCGATTTTCCTCAAATCCGTGCCGATTCTTGGGGAAAATGTTAATCACTCAATGAGTAACCTCACATTTTGCAATTTTGACTCGAATTCGACTCAATTTTGAGTTACTGAGGTCAGAGCAGTATTTACACAATATATTGGTTGTTAGCGATAGGTCCAAAACAGGGGAACCAGTGACCTAAAACTATATCCCATAATTCCAAAATAATTCCCAGATGCACTCCGGCTCGGAGATCTATCTCGGCTCGACGGGCAGCTTTCAGCGGTTCGATTCCGTCGACCGTGACTACAAACCCCAGTACGGCCAAGGATCGGGCCTTACCGTTCCCCCGTGGCGAACCTCGTCTACCGAAGAGGCCGAAATACCCCCGCAACCGCTACGACCAGCCCCGTCACCCCGGGAACCGAAACTGACACGGGAGAAAATAATCCAAAAGCAAACGTGAGCGCCATTGAATGCCGAAAATGTAAGCCCTAATTCTAACCCTTGTTCACTCTTCCAGATCGGAACCCAAACCTGCCACCGGAGCTATAATCATATCACCAATTCCACGTCCCGTCCCACGTAAGCAGCACTCGTTCCCGATATCTTTCCCACTGCCAGTAATCAGCTCACCACGAGAAAAGCGCTTCCACAATGAACCTCACATATGCACCAATCCCTTTCTCAACCAACCGCCTCTGAAGGAGGAAAGCGATCCTCCGCCACCTTTGCTTCCACCCCCGGCACCACCGGAACAAGCCGCCCCGGAGCCCCCTTTCCTTCAGCGACTCATCAAATCCGCAAACAACCCCTTCCTATCCGACTCGCGCAAATCCGAAGACGAATGCATATTCAACTTCGAACCTGCAACGGTGCAATCCGTTTACGCCGAGGAAGATCCACTACGGCGGATCGAGAAACGCCTTTCCAAGATGGAGAATATTCGCCGGATGTCCCGTCTCATTGAAAGCAACCAGGTTCTGTTGAACATCTACCAGCAGTTCAACGGTACCGTCGATCGATCCCAAGAAAACGATCCAACACCACCCCCATCAGCTAGACAACTACCCCCATCCAGCCGAATGCCTGGTCCATCTTCATCCTCATCCACCTCTCCACTGATCTCCCCAAAACTCCTTGACAGTGCATCACCTCCTCGAATCTCCCCTACACCTCCATCAGCTCCCGTCCCATCTACCAGCCGGACCGATCACAGCAAGTACCAGGACTCACCTCGGACAGACGTCGCCGACAACATCAGGATTCCTACCGTCTCCAATAGCATCAAGCACATCCTGCGGAATCGGTCCTTCTCCGAGACGGAGTTCAGCGAACGGAAGCTGATCAAGAGTTTCGCACTGGTATCCGAGGAGCCCGATCAGGGCGGAGGAAGCATCGGCGGCAGTAGCAGTACGACGCCTCCGCCTCTGCTGAAGAATTCCTCCTACAAGGACCTCAGTCGGTACTACGGAACCGCTCAGCAGACACCATACGGCGGCCAATCGGTGCTGCAGAAAACCGTTTCGGAGTCGTTCCTCGAACGGTACTCGCTCGGACGGGGCGAATATGATTCGGAAGCGGGTGGTACCAGCAGTGGTTGTGGATCGGGGACCGGTGGTGGAGCGTTCAGCAATCTCAGTTCAGCCGATCGGCTGCGGTCGGTGATGCCGTCGGTGTCTAGCGAATCCGTTGCTTCGCAATCGTCGGTGATCTTCACCGACCTCAAACCGATCCAAGCGATCACCGGGTACCTTTGCATTGGACTGCAGTATGATAAGTATGGGAGTGGGTTTCGAGGGGGAAGTGATTCGGGTGATTGTTCTGATTGGAGCGTGCATTTTAGGTCCAGTACGACAATCGAAGGCATGGAACTGCTGGTCACGATTCAGGAAGCGAAACAGCTGGTCGGTCCACCGGGAGTGGACATGGATACGTTCGTGAAGGTGTTTATCGTACCTGATGAGAGTAAGGTGCTTCAGACCAAGGTATGATCATCTGTTACGGGGGAGGCGGTTGCGATCCAAACAGCTAGACGAGTTTTTTGTTTTGTGTGTTGCAGGTTTTTAAGGATTCCAACTTCCCTAGCTATCAGGAGACGTTCACCTTTTGGATCACTCACAAGAACATCCGACGGTCGCTTTGGTTCCACGTGTATCATACCAGTGCGAAGGAGCAAACTTTAATCGGTAGGTGTGCTAATTTCTATTTTTTATGAAGGTGTGGAATATCCAGGCATGGCAAAAATTAATTTGCCTCTAACTTTTTCCATTAACAGAATACCGTAAAACAAAGTAAGAAGCTTTTGTAGATTTTAATATAAACTAAAACTTTTGTGAGTAACTCAGATATGTACCTCTTATATATGGCGCACTAGAGCAGGCGGAACTTGTTATTTTCACTGAATGTAATTTACATTCACTGAAAAACAGTGGTGGGTTCAGTTCGCTCTGTTTCATCATGCATAAGAGATACAGATTTGAGTTATTCACATTCACATCATATCATTTTACGGAGTTCTATTGATGAAAACAAGTTAGAGGCAAATTAATGCACGAAAAGAATGCAAATGATTTGCCATGCCTGGGAATATCTGAAACAATATTTCTGTGGTAATTTTGGTGCCTTTAAGGCCATTTTGGCGAGTCTTAACAATTGTTGACGTTTTCAGAGCCATCTTGACGTTTATTTTGAAGATTGCATGGTTATTTTCATCAGTTTTGAAGCTTGCTTTGCGCTAATTTGGGTGTTTTTTAGATTATTTTGAGGATCTCAAACCGTCTTTGCGTTTAAATCAAATTTGAAATTTTAGGCTCATTCGGTGTTGATTTTACAGTCAAGATTCCTTTAATGCGGATTTGTTTTTGCCGGATTCCTATAGGGGAAATGACGGCTTCGGCATGACAGACTATTTTCGGCAACCCAAATTGAAACACTATTTTCACTGGATTTTCTTACGAAAACACTTCACTGAATGCATGCAAACGATTCTTTATGCTTTCAGTTTCAATTTGACTATATTTTTACCACTGAGAAAAAGCAATCTAGCAGGGTTTTCTTGAAATGAAACACACGCACTACAAATTGTAGCTGATTTCGAGTTGCCGATAATAGAACAGCAGATTTACATGCAGTTCAAATGGAACGGTTGCCGAAGAAAAACTGGTTGCCGACAATACTCGCTCTCACTAGAGAAGATTGGAGCTTTGTAAAAGCGTTTCAAAACAGTTTTTGACAATTCTTTCGACTGAAATTGTTAGAGCAGCTGGCAGCAAAAGATTGTAAACAAACCAATACTGCATATGTGTGCGTTCCATAGAGAAAAAGGCTATAGAAAGAAGGTCGCTGCTTAGGTTGCCGAGAATACGTAAATTCCCCTAGTACTGATGCCACTGGATTCCTATAAAACGGTCGATCCAACATTAACGAATACACGTATCATGTGGGATTTGAGCTAATTGGGCCCAAACTTCGGCAATTTGAAGAGATGACTTCCTGATGTCTTTGGAGAAGTTGTTAAGCAGATAGTTGGTCACTTTTTGGGAATAGTCAGTTTCCGGTAGGACACAACTCTGGTCCTGTGAAAGATCCGGAACATCCGTAAAAGTGGTCATTTCATGAAACTGATCCTAGAGCTCCGTGTTTTTTTTTTAGAAACCACTCATAGACGTCTTATTACAATAAATTCGGAGTTGTTACCAGAAAAGTTATTCTGAGGCCCACGGGATGGTCTACTAAAAGGACATCCGTGAAAGTGGTTAATTTATGAAACTAATCCTGAAGCTCCGTGGTTTTTTAGAAACCACTCATAGACATCTTATCAGAATGAATTCGGAGTTGTGCTCGGAATATGGACTCTGGAGACTACGGAATGGTCCACCGGAAGATCCGGAACATCCGTAAAAGTGGTCAATTCGTGAAACTGATCCTAGAGCTCCGTCGTTTTTTCCAAACCTCTTTAAGACGTATCATCAGAATGAATTCAGTGTTGTGACCGGAAAATTTATGCTGCGGACCATAGGATGGTACACTGCAAGATCCGGAACATCCGTTAAAGTGGTCAATTCATGAACTAATCCTAGGGCTTCATGGTTTTTTAGAAAGCACTCATAAATTAATATGAATAATAACTCAATAAGACGATATTTTTAAATGGCTTAATGTTTAAATTTTGATGTGATGAATTAAAACTATAAACATTGAAGATAATACCTCATTAACTTGTTTGTTCCGGATCTTCCAGTGGACCATCCTTTGATCCCCAGGATCCATATTTTGGTAAAAACTCTGAATTCATACTGAAAAGACATCCATCAGTGGTTTCGTAAAAACCGCGGAGTTCTAGGATCAGCTTCATGAATTGACCAGTTTTACCGGATCTTCCTATGGACCATCCCGTATTTCTCAGAGTATATATTTGGGTCACAACTCCAAGTTCATTATGATAAGAAGCTTCAAGAAAACCTTGGAGTTCTAGGATCAGTTCAATGAATTGACCACTTTATGGATATTCCAGATCTATCGGAGTACCATCCTGTTGTCCCACGAGTTCACATTTCGGTCACAACCCATTTTGCCGATTACAAGCTGCGAGATGTATAAAATTACGCTGTCTAATCAATCAATCTCTCAGGTGCGTAAAAGAAAAGCTGCCGAAGTAATTCGGGGGAATCAATCTCGCTGCAGCAAATACAGCTTGAGCGTTCCGTCGCCTTTGTTCCAAGGTGTCAATTCCGGAGCAAATTGTGATTAGGGCGAAACTAGCAAAATGTAAACAAATGGAGAAAAATCGAGCAAGTTTTCACGTATTGATTTAATTTTTAATTGATTGCTAAGCAATAGTTTTTCTATTGGAATTACATTTATGATCGTAAAATTGATCCATTTTTATTTGTGTTGAGTGTAAAATCTCATTTTTATTCATTTTCTCTTAAAAACTCATCGTTTTTTATAATTTGGCCCATAAATGCGGAACGTTAAGAATACGCCCTCATTAAATCGCCCCGAACATGTATGACAGCAACAATTCGCCCAATACTATGCGCCTTGTTTTGATTTCCTTTAAAGTGTCGCCCTTCACTTTTCGCCGTGTTTACGTTTCAGCTAAAGATGAGCCTTTTACTATTTTCGCTTTTGTTGGTAAACAACTTTCATTTCGCCCGTTCATTGAAATGTTTCAAAATTGCGCCCTGTACTATCGTAAACAAAGGAAAGAGCGTAATCTATTTTAAAGCTTGTTTTGAGATAAATTTTGTTTCGCCTTTCGCTTTGCATGGATTTTTCGATAGTGGAACATTTAAAAAAAATGTTTGTGGTTATTTGTTAGTAGATTTTTGCCTGCTTCATCTGATTGCAGTAAAATCTCCGTTTGTTTACATTTAGCTAGTTTCGCCCTAATCACAATTTACTCCGGAATTCCAATTGAAAATAAAAACTTTTTTATTATTGGGATAGACCAATTCAATGTTCTAAAAAATTGTAGAACAATCAATTCGAGTGGTCAAGACATCAAATTTCTATCTCTTATGGTTCATGAACTATGATTTTAATAATCAAGCAGGTTAGGGTGGCCCCTATAAAACAGATTTTTTTGGAATATCTTTTCATACGTTCATTTCTCGTGAAAACGCTGTCGTGGACACATAAAGAACTTTTTATGATGCGTATTTTCGCTTGAGCAACCAGGTTGCTATCTTTAGTTAGTAGAAAATTAATGGAGATTTAAATTTAAATTCAAAACAGTCATATTTTTTAGTAAAAAATAGCCATTACTTTTCAAATAAAGACGATAACAACTTAGTTGCTTGAGCAAAAATATGCGTCATAAAAAGTTCTAAACGTACCTAAAAAAAACTTTTTACGAGATATAAACGTAGATATTTATAGAAAGTCGATTTTCTAGGAGCCACCCTGACGTGCTTGTTTAAAATAATCATAACTTATGAACCATAAGAGATATAAATTTGATGTGTTAAGCAAAATTGCTTCAAATTTATTTTTCTACAACTTTTTAGAACACTGCATTGGTCTATCTCAAATAATAAAAAAAAAGATTATAGTCAATTCACCTATTTTATGGACCACCCTAATTTCACTAACATGAAAAGATCGGTCAAAAAATACAAAGAAACGTTCCTTAAGACACCATATACTTAAAAGTTATGGTTTGGGCGCAAATATTTGTGTCTTCCTAAATACGGCTTTAGGAGCATTGTGCACTGGTCCCAGGGTCAATTTTCTGGTCATAACCCCAAATTCATTCTGATAAGAAGCCAATGAGTCGTTTTGAACAAAAGTGGACCTACAAACTCACTTTCAAGAACTTATCAATTTTATGGATGTTCCGGGTTTTCCTGGTGAACCATTTCTCCATTTTCCGGTCAGAACTCCTATTTTATTCTAATGAGACATCTAAAGGGCGAACACGAAATTATTGCGACACATTCAACAGGGCATAACTTTTTTACCATTGGGTAAAAATCAACCAAATTTTGCACACTTTCTCATTGATGTGTATTGTGTACATGCTGTCAAACTCGAAGTCGTGTTTTTCGATTCAACGAAAATGGAGGTGAACCAACGCGAGTTGAGAGAACAAATTCTTTCCAAACACCTGGAATTTCCTGACCTGTCGCACCGGCAGTTGGGAAAAATGTTGAACATTCACCATCTGCTCTTGCGGACTGAGGAGTGAGCCTTTCGTGACAAAGGGCACAGTAAATGGCGAGATCTACAAATCTGAGTGCCTCGAGAAGCGCCTTTTGCCGTTCTTGCAGCAGCACGACGAAGCTCCGTTATTTTGGCCAGATTTGGCATCATGCCAATATTCTAAAAGTGTCCTGGGGTGGTATGAGGCCAATTCTGTCCATTTTGTTCCAAAGGACATGAATCCACCAAACTGTCCGGAGCTGCGCCCAGTGGAGCAGTACTGGGCAATAATGAAGCGGGAACTTCAGAAGAGCAAGAAGACAGTCAAAGACGAGAAGGACATGTTAAGAAAATGGAAAAAAAAACTGAGAAACTGGTACCGGATGACACTGTAAAGACTTTGATGGAAGGCATCAAGCGAAAATGCGTTCAATTTTACACTCAAGGCTCCATCGATTAACTTTTCTTTTGATTTTTGAAGTAAATATATTTATAAAACTACCCTAAAATTTTGGTTTGATTCTAAACATTATAAGAAAAT